CTAAAAAAAAAAAGGTAAGGTCTTAGCACCAGACCAGCTGCAAGAAACTTACTATGATTTGTTTCCAGTATGTTGTACTCTAGCATCTCATCATCTATGCCAAGGACACTTTACTTGCCAGCACACTACCTAGGCCAGAAAGGGTACCCATGGGACACATGCTCTGCAAATCAAGTGCTTTAACCTCTACCACTGCTTTCCCATGAACAGTGCTCTCTTCACAACCCTACACAGCTCAGAATTGTTCACTCTGCCAGCCTGAACCAGAGCTGAGTCATTTCTGTGTAAGGCTACTCCCTACCCACCATTTGCATGAATCTTCTGAATTTCCTCTGCCATCAGCATGGTTTTATTTTAATTGAAGTAATATTATATTAACATGCTAATACTGTAATGCAGCTGTAGGAAACAAACCACCACCACAACAACAAAACAGACTGAGCATAAAACTTGTATTAGTTGTCCAATGTGCTTGCTTGGGTGAACCTCGGAATACAACCTAATATTCAAAATATTACCAAGACATGACAAAATGGTATTGCTATATGCATTAACTGGTTAAACAGTACAAGTAATACAGCAATACAGACATGATCAGCCACCGTCCTGAGAGCTTGAATGCAGCAGGAAGAATGCAATGGGAAAAAACGTTTCACACATTAATCCAAAAGGCAGGCATGGATCTTCAGTGCAGCAACAATGAGTAACAGCTGACAAACAGTAATAGAAGCCTTTCCAAACAGCTGAGCTCATGGGTTCTATTGATAACATTCATTGATGATGACTGTCTCTCCAAAACTTAAACAAACTTTGCAGACTGATCAAGATGAAACTTTCCAGTCACTCTTGAGGAGGGAGGGGAATAAACAAGACAGCCACCTAAAACACAGGCTTTCTTCTGTGTCATGGGAGTCCTTCTTACATTCTTGGAAATAGAAGCCAATGACAGCAGCCCATCTGCAGTGAGCAAAGGACAGAGCTTAGGCTGATGTGACACCCAGCACAGACCACCTGAATCACCCTCAGAGAGCCACTGAGCACCAGACAACCCCTCATGGCAATGGAAGTCTGGCCGACAGCTTTCCACAGGTAAACACCCACATATTGACACTTACATGCCAATCCAGAGCTCAATCCTACCCAAAGGACCACATAGACGCAGGCGATACTTATGCTCAGAAAGGACTAAAGAGCACGAAGTCAGAAGTAACCTGGTTCTCCTCAGCACACTTACTCCATGTACAAGATGTTACTATTTCTATATGAGTAGTCATATGAAGTGACCACCTACCTCTAGAAAAGATTTCAGATAATTTGGAGCTGCTAAACTCTAGTTCACCTGGGAGTACAGATGATGGGACTCCTGGAGGGCTCAGTAGTTGCTAGAACCATCTCCATGCTCTTCAATTAAGTTGACTTAATGTTTGGCCTCCAAGGGAGTCTCTTCACAAAAAAAACCCCAAACAACTAGAAAAGTCTAGCAATTACAAAGCAGTGGGAAGATGACATGGAAATCATTAACTCATACCTGCCACATTCACACATCCTAACTTACAGCACACTCAGAGCTAGTGCCTGTTTATGAAATCAGCAATTAGCACATGATAGAGAGTCAGTTATCTGTGGCTCTACTCAACCACCCACTCCTAGCTCAGCCATCACCTCACCCCTGAAGTCAGAAAGAGCAAAAATGTACAGACTAAGGAGGACAGGCACTTTCATGTGCACAGTAGTTGTTTTCAAGTCTAGGGATGTTTGTGTCATTGATCTATCCTTCCCAAATTTCCATATGACAGTATTTTTATTTCCCATACTAAAGGCTAAGGAAGTTGGTAGAAACTCGGTGGGAAACAGCAGATGCAGTCACCCTAGATGCAGTACCCAGCATCTCTGAAAGACAGCAGCTCCTGAGTGTGGAGCTGTCAGCTCCAATAGACATCTCCTTCCTGATGCTGTGCTGGCTCCCAGCCCTGCCCATGTGCCATCTTGGGTATCTGTGCAGTACAGAGACCTTAACTGTGCACTGTTCCCAAATCAAGTAGCACAGGAGCGGAGGCAGGGAGTGCCAGGCACACGCAGTAGCCAGGCTCTGACTGAAGCAACCTCCTCTCCCAGGAGGCATTCAATACAGGAACAACAGCAATACCCCTCTCAAGCCCTGGAAGGAGGACTGATAGACTCCACCGTTGCAGGAGAGACAAAGAGAAAGAGATACAGATTAAAGAGAATGCTCTCAAGATAAATGTCACTAAAGCCTACCAGGAACTGCCAGCGCTCCACTCAAAATCCCTCAAGCTTTCAAAACAGAATTACCCACTCCAGTGACTAGATTACTGCCTTGAGAGACCTCTTTGAAATAATTTGAATTTCTATCAAAACTGTTTAAAGAAAGCTCACGCCCTGCTAATGCTGTTGTAATTTAGACACCTTGAAGATTAGCTGGAGTATTTTATCCTGATTTGCATGCAAGGCTTACCTCTATTTTTTTCCCCCTTACATACACTGCAGGAAGAAAAGCAGAGAAGGATGGATGTGTGCCCGTCATCATGGTACTTTAGTATCAAAGGATGTCTCAAATTGCAAGGCTGTAAGCGAGGCTGAAAACTTACAAATGTCTCCGAGGGTTAGAAAGCTTTTTGTCGCTGCTTGTTAGATCACTGGGAGGCAGATAGGGAATGAGTACAGACAAAGTAAAGCTATCACTTCAAAAACTGTACTTCCTCACACAAAACCAAACATCAAGCCTAACCCTTAGTCATGCAAGCGCTACACTTGAGCGAATGACTAATCAGATGAACACAGAATGCTGCCAGGGCACTGATAACCATTTTGATAGCAAGTAACTGTTAAAAAAAAACATTAAATGGGTGTGTACTTGCTTTCATGAAATCATAGTATTTATTTGATTCAGTAATGCCATAGACATGACTCCATTTGCAAAGATTTGCAGAACATGAATTGCATTTGCTACAAAAGCATGTAATTGCATAGTTTGAAAAAACCTAAAATGAACATGAAAGTCTTTTCGAACCCGATTTGCATTGATAAGAGACAGTGAAATTTGCATTCAATTGATTTCTGCAGTTAGAAGAGCTCAATGGAATTATGGAGCAAAATGGTTTGCCTTTAGAAAATTAACAGGTATTAAATTTTGTAGTCACTCACTGCAACAGAATAGAAACTTAATTTTCCAGGTGGTGTCACTGATATCAATGGGACTCTGTCAAGCTAAGTAATAAGAAGCTACCAATACTGAACATCCTAGATTGCCAAACTGGAATTGGATGTTACCTGCAGCAGGGAACATTTGATGGCAATTATTAATCCATGTTTTAAAACTACAGCAATTCATGTTCTAAAAATATGTTTTTAAATTAAATATTGCACTGACAATTTTCTCTGGCCCGCTTCAACTATCCCACTTCCAGGATAAAGGATGGTTTAAAAAAAAATAATCTTAATTGTTGGCCAGTCACAGCTTTCAAAACATTAGTCACTGTGGTGCTGACTGATTTTCTTTTTCATACAGTCATCCTACATTAGCATTTTTATTTGAAAGTAAATCAGTCTTAGAAATTTGTGAAACCCAGGTGAAGAGTGTGTAAAAGCACAGCCAGCCATTTTAAATCCAGGGAAGTACAGAGATGTTCAGAGTCTGACTAGTACAGTGGACACTGGTCACACAGCCCCCTGGTTGCCACAACAGGAACTCTCCCCCTGGAAACCATGCTCCAGTGAGACCTACAGTAACCACTTCCACCAGCCTTTTTTCCTCTGAAGGATGATCTTGTGTCCAGAGATCCTGCACAAATCTGACCTCTGGCAACTCCACCTGACAACCCACCAACTCGCCAGCTCTGACACTTCAACTGGTCAAGGGATCACCTATGCCAGAGGAGAAAAAGTATGATCTTAAAACAGGTGGCCAATACACTGTATGACAGTGCTTTAGAGACATCTATGCCATATTTTTTTACTGTGATTTAGCTAGCTATAATGAATTCTATGTTAAAGGGGAAAAGTACAGACACAGAGAGCAAGTTTCTCCTTTTCCTTCATCTTCTCACAGCACCAACACTGGAGAGACTAGGGTGACAAGGACAAGGGGACGAAGCAGCAAGACACCCCATACCTGCTGAAAAGTTACCATGCAAGATGGAGAAAAGCCATCACATCTGGTCAGTGGTTAGGGTCTCCATCTTCCTGATTCTTACAGCCAGACAGGGAAGTTGAGAGCCTGTAACTCCAAGCTGAGCTCTGAACATGCGCATGTCAAAACTCCACCAAAAAAAAGTATAAAAAGATGCCCTCTTGGGACAGGGCAAAAATCACCCTAGATTTCTCAATCATTGTGCCAAAAATTGACTGATAATTTGAGTGAAAACTGTGCAGAGTTTGAAGCTAAATTTGTCAAAATGTAGAAGGAAACACCTTTCCACTGTAAATGAGCATTGTGACAGCAGTTCCGTATTACGTGGTCAGAGCTGCACAGAGAAGTCCAGAGGAAATTAAAAATTCTGTTTCCTGATGGCACATGGATGGGGTGCAGAAACAACACATGGACCACATAATGAACTGTGAAAACTTAAAAAAAATTAATAATTTAACCACTGTCCCTTCCCCAAATGAAGCAGGGCCCTTATGGGGCCATGTAATTAAGATTGTCATACCGAAATAATGATGCAAAGCCAAGGTTTGCACAGATAGTCTTAATTCTGCAATCATTAAATCTGCTGCTTTCATCTCTGCATACTTCTGTCTCGCCATATTAATGGAAGAAAAGAGGTTATGCTATTAGGATCATCTTCCGCTTTTCCGGGGTAAACATAGGAGAGTGATAACTCTAGACACATGCAAAATACTGTGGAACAAGAAATGGTGATGATGGAGGAGAGAAGAGCAAGCCCAGGAACAAGGGACCCAGAGGACCAGCGAGCCTGGGCAGCATGACTGCCAGCATGCAGCTGCACAGTGCAAAAGCAGCAAAGCAAGGACCTTACCTGCACCCAGCACGCTTAATCCACAACCCAGATAATCCCCCGTGAATAATCGAGAGTTGACTGTGTACAGCAGAACTCTATTAACCTCAGAACTCGCTGCAGCAGGCCGCATCCTCCATAAACTGCTTAGTGATCAATTAACTGTATGTGCATGGCCTCTTACAAAGGTCTTGAGTCTAGTAATGGGATACTTGCCTCCAAGGCCCTGCCTATACTATAAAGCTTCATTTCAGATTCATCGGTTTTGAAGACTAGGGGGAATCCATTATCATCATCTGATCTTTTCTTGCACATGACAGCCGGATTCCCAGCTCTGTAGCATGACAGCAGCAGTTTCTGAACCAGAACTGTTGAAAGCTTTGGACTTATCAGTGAGAAAACAATTTACAAAACTTCCAGCTCAGGATTATCTGATGGGCAGTAGTCAACGTAAAATAAAGCTTGCAACCACATCTACTCCTCCAACCTTTATGATTATCTGAAACGAAAGATATGACTAGACACAATAATCCTGTCAAGGCAAAGTTTGGGTGTACTGACCAGGCACTTAGAGCAAATGCCAAAGCCAATGTTGTACCTCTGTTGTGAGGGGGGGGGAAAAAACCAGGGAGGGCTGGATTTGACAAAAGTAGAGAATGTTTCTAACCACTGAAGTCAAACAGAGACAGGGAGGTAAAGAATAAAGGACAATCTTGGGTTAGCTCTCTGAAGGGCAGTCTCAACTTCTGGGGAAGCTGGCCAGCACAGAGGAAGGATGTGTAAGGTACCTGGGACACAGTCTTACAGCTGAAGATGGCTGACAACCTGTCCAGCCAGCAAGCTGTACTGGTGCCAGCATTCACTGGCAACACCTTCAGTGGCATCTGCAGAAGGAACAGTGCTTCATTATCCCCATGCAAAACAGCCACACCAGAGACCTACCTCTGCTTTCACTTGTGCTTAAGCACCTCAAAAATAAATACAAGCCACCAGTGTCACGTCTGAGACACCACCTGCAAAGCAGATGTCGTGCATGTTACATCACCGTGCTGAAGTCAGGATAAAAACGCTCCAGAAATTCTCTAACTGCGCCTAATCTTATTTTATTATTATTTTTTTTACCCTTGTTCACTCAGAACAAATAGCCAAAAAATTCCAACAAAAAACAACCTCAGAAAGGAAATTCTAAGCATTCTTCATGATTCTCTGGAGTAAGCAGCATTATTATAAAAGCAGTCTGGCAATGACCTTCTGAGCTAAAGTGATTCGTAATTAATTGCTAATATTTCTAAAGAAAACTTTCCATTCAATAACACACTGGAATCAGACATCTTGAAAACCAAAGTTAGACTCTTGGAACTACTCTTCTGGCTAACAGCAGCCAGGCAAAACTACCACCACAAAGAGTAAAACCAGTTTTAGCTACCTTGCTACTATTGCCAAAGCATGGAGAGCAAAAAAAGCCTCATTCCAGCTTGGGAGGGGAAAAAATTAAGGAGTAGGGACTCTGCACACCAGTTTGCAAACCTAGCAGTAAACCTTGGCTTAGCAAAAAGTGTTATAAAAATCCCAGCCTACCTTTAGTTTTAGCCTGAAACAACATTTTGCAACAAGATTATCTCCCAAGCAAGGAGAGCAACCCAAGTTTCTGCAAGAAAACACCTTACCAAAATCGCTCGTAACCAAAAAAAAACAACAACCCACTAACCAGACACAGCATAAAATGGTTGATGAAAAAGTGTTACCCCGACGGGCTCAAATACTGTCAAACGACAAATAAAACGGACCGAAAAAAGTAAGACTCCATTTTTAATCGTGCAGAAATAAACGTCGGGATTTCTCAGCTCGGCACCGGAGAAGCCGAGCGGCACCGGGACCCGGCAGGGAGGCACCTCCCGCCCGCTCTGCCCCGGGCGGCCGGGCCCCC